GGTGGGTTTGGTGGGCGCGGTGGGGTCGGGGCACCGGGGGCTTTGCTTCTCCCTGGAGGTGCAGGGAGGGATGGGGGCATCTCGAAGGTTTTGGGTTTTTTTTTTTTTTTCCTCTCGCATTTGATGCTTTTAGGGTAATTTCCGCGTGGCTGTGAAAAAACAGAGCCCTCGGGATGGGGGGGCCTGGCGCTGCCTCGGGTTTCCATACTGCTGGGAGCAGCCTGGGCATCGCCGAGACTGCCTTCCCCATTAACCACCACTCGGATTTCCCAGATCCCGGTATCTGAGGATTCACCGTAAATGCCAAAGCTTGGCATTTGAAAATCCACAGGCAGGGAGAGGGGTCTGGGAGGTTTCTCTCAGGAGGGAATAGCGGCCGGAGCCGGCAGCAGGGACGAGGTTGCAAACTCTTTTGGTGTCTTTGCAGGGCTGCCCCCGGGGAGAGCAGCCGGCCGCGGAGCTCTGGTGATGGGCTCCGGGCTGTGCATGCGGAGGGTGATGCCTGAGCAAGTATCAAGGCTTAAATCCACCTCTGAAGTTGTCTAGAAAAGTCAACTCTTGGGAATCCCAGGAGCTATTAGCAGCATGGCTTGCCCACCCTGGAGGCCAAGAGATGCGGTGGGAATCTATCTCCTCCCCCATCCACAATGCCTCCATCTATCCCCAGCGGTCCACGTGGGCACGAATGACTTAATTTAAAGCCAGGAGCGACATGAGATGGCTGTTTGGTGTGAAATCCAAGACCCCAGGCATCCAACAACTGTGCACCAAATCTCCTGACAATGTTGTTAGTTAGGTCCATTACTAAAACCTCTTGCTACCATCTCTAAAATCTTGCCAAGCTGGTTTGGAGCTATTCAAAATTCCCTTTGTCTTTTGAACTCCATTTTCCTGCTCTCAGTGTAGCTGGGACACACTTATTCAAAGGACGGCAACTCGTACCGGGCTGCACACATGTCTGTCTAAGTGTATTACACCTACTTTAAAATCTCTGCATTAGTTCCTTGTCAAAGCGAGGATTTAATTTCAAAGTGCTTTGACTTATATTCCAGCTCCTGACAGGCGGCAGCCCACCCTCACCTAGTCATTCATCTGGCTTTCATGTCCTTGCTGATTATCCCGGTTGAAAGCGGGATGCTGGCTGCTTTGCTGGAGAATCGGAGGTTGTTGCTGTGAGCCCCGACTGGGTAATTCAGTGCAACTGGAGCTGATTAATCTGGCTCATCGTTGGAGACAAAGCCGTGGCCTTCCTCTGGCTTCTAATCGCTCTGGGTGTTGAGTGAAGTCATCAGGAAGGCAAGAGCTAATTGAAAGGCTAAGGGGAATGAGAGGTTAGAGGGCCATGGCTGGCTAGCCAGAGCCACGTGGGTCCACAGGAATATAATATTTTTAGGCCTCGAATGTGTTATTCTCTCCCCAGGGAGAAACACCAGAGAATTCAACAGAAGCCAGAGGGGTGGGCATGGTCCCAGGTTTCTGCACGGGTCACAGGGGCACCCTGGCTGGTGTGGACACCTGCAGCCCGAGGAACATCCCAGGCAGAGATGTTCCTGCTGCCAGGGCTGGCTGCTGGCAGGCTCAGGGCACCCTGCGGCTCTTGTTGGGGTAGCTGTGATGGCAGGATGGTGCGGTGGGTGCCTGACGTGAGCGGGAAGACCTCTGTGAAATGCCATAGTTTGATTTCCCAGGGCCCTTCGTATGGGCCCCGTGTGCTCTGGGTGATGAGAGTGGCTCCTCTGCTCCATGATGTCCCCTCCCAGCATGTGGCTCCAGCCTCGTTTCACCAGCCCTGTGTTAAGGGTGGGTTAGGTGGCCCAAGGAGGTGTTTGGGAAGGCAGATCCCCCGGTCACTCTGCTCCTCACCCTGCTGGCAGCAGCAGAGCTTGCCAGCCACTTGGCCCCAGCACCCGTGGAGATGCTCCCCCCAGGTCTGCTCCCTCCTCCCTTTCATTTCCCACCTTCTACCTGCAACACACCTGCCTTGACACCTCTTCTGGCTGGGGCGAGGTGTTGTAGAGTGTGTCCACCTGCTTCTGCAGGAGGTTCAAGCCACTGTCTCCAGCGTAGCAAGTAGAGCAGAGGGGAACATCACGACTTTCCCAGCAGGAAGGGAGGTATATGCAGAGGTATATGCATGAATGCCAGGCCGTTTGCAGCAGTCACAGCATGGGATCACATCCACGGGATGTGTTGGGACTAGGGTGTCCATGGACTGATGGGTGGGAGCCCCATGCCAGAGGGAAGGCAGATGCAGACACATCTGGAGTGAGTCACCCTGAAGGGAAGTGCTGCGTGAGCTATCTGTGGAGATGATAACAGCGTGGCTGGGCAGGAGGGGTGTTTATTTTACAGCCTCTGCTGTGGAGGAGATGATGAGTGTGAACAGACAGAATGTGGAAATGGGCACTCACCAGGAGAGGGGGGGTCCCTTGGTCTTTTCAAAGTTGCCCATGAAACACCACTCAGCCGTTACCTGCAGCCTAGGTGCTTGCTGCGAGTTAGATTCTTTTGGCCTCTTACTCAGAAGATGCCAGGTTGCTGTAAACGCTTCAAAGCCCAGCTGATTTGGAAGACAGGAAGGCCCAGATCCAGGAGAGCATTTAAGGGAGGTACCAGATCTCCTGGCCTTGTACATTGGTGCAGAGCATCCTCCACAGCGGGGCCCCTCCTTTGCCACCCTTTCAGGACAGCAGCTGGGGGTGAAGAGCCCTTGTCACCCCCAGTGTGGCTTGGAGCTCAGCGCCTGCTGACCACCCCAGTGCTGCAGGGCATCGCTCTTTATTACTGCCCTTGTGGTGCTTTAATGAACATCAAAACCCCATTAGATAAGGCGGCTCCCTTTGATGTGTAAATATTTCGGCGGATGGGAAGAGGAATGAAATGCACCTGATGAGTGTTTCATAGGCTTGCCCAGGTGCTTCTCTATTCAAAGGCTGCGGAAAAATTACCATCGCCATATCACAGGCAAGGAAAAAGGTCCCCCAGTGGTGGTAGCAGGAAGGGTGTTTCCAACTCTGAGACCGACATGAAAGCACAGAGCTTGCAAATCATAGAATCATAGAATGGTTTGAGTTGGAAGGGACCTTAAAGATCATCTAGTTCCAATCCCCCTGCCGTGGGCAGGGACACCTTCCACTAGACCAGGTTGCTCAAAGCCCCATCCAACCTGGCCTTGAACACTGCCAGGGTTGGGGCATCCACAACCTTTCTGGGCAATCTGAGCCAGTGCCTCACCACCCTCACAGTGAAGAACTTCTTCCTTACATCTGATCTAAATCTACCCTCTTTCAGTTTAAAGCTACTACCCCTTGTCCCATGCAAAGGACCGTGCAAAGGTGTAGTCAGACTCTGGATTTACATGATATAAATGCACCTACACTGAAGAATAAGTGCAGGCAGGTAGCACTCTTGCTCAATTTCTGGATCTGATGAGCGCTATTAGTCGTCGAGGTTGTGGGAGATATTTTGCAGGTTCTTTTTTACTTTCTGATGCCCCTGGGGCTTACCAAATGGGATTGAAAGTGGGGTAGTCTGCAGTCTGGATGGTGGTGTCAGCCATGCGATGGGGAGAAGAGCTGCGAGAAAGAGGGAGGCAAAACTCATGGGTGAATCTGAGGCTGTGGGAGTTGATGCTGAATAGAAATAAATTCTGTTTTGAACTTAATGGAACATAAATGTCGGACACTTAGCAACAGTACATGTATTAATCCTGTCCTGGAGAAAGGAGAAGCTGTTCTGAGAGCCTCCATACCAGAAAACACAGGACAATTGTACTCCTTTATAGAAACCTGTGGTTTTTCTGATGAAATTTATTTCAAACTATCCAAACATTTCAGAGCAGCACTGATGACTGCTCAGAGAAGGTGCTGTATAGGAGTGCAGTTCACAAACAGAAGCAGCTTTGCAAAGACGAAAATTGCTCTGACAAAAGAACTGTGTCCAGTGCATTATAAACAGTGAGTGGTTGCTGTAACCTGTGCTCACCTGGTTGACTAAACACAACATGATGGTCACTAGAAAATCAAGACGGTCCTTTTTCAGCTGCAACAGGAAGCTTTTAGGTCTGTGTGGATTGCAGAGCACTTCAGCATGTGTGCTTGGGGATGTGCATTTAGTTGCGTGAGTCTTCAGAAACCACAGGTGCAGACGTTCAGTCCTAACAAATCTGCCATGCCATCACCTGAAATTTGGCGCCAAGGCTGGAAAAATTCACTCCTCTGAGTTTATTGTCAAATAGGGCACTGAAAAAAAAGCAGAGTGGCTTGGGATTTAAGGTCTTTGCTTTTCGATGTTGCCTCTGAACAGACCATGAAATGGCAAAAATGAGTGTTTGTGGTGAATTTGTGGGTGCTGTCCATGCGGGAACTTAAGAGCATCACTGAATATGGTGAATGCTTTCAAACCAAACCATTGCAGAAAGAGCCAAGTTTTCCACCAGCCAAATATATCCTTTTTCACAGGGCTGTGAATGAATTGTCCCCTGGCTTGTACTATCTTCAGAGGAGATTGTATCACAGTTCCAGGCTCCAGGGTTTAAAAAATATCACAACTGACTTCACCACTCACCCGGGCGCCATCCAAACCAAACAGATTGTAGCACTGCTGAAACAAATCTTGATCCAGGTGCCGGACAAGTGGTCATGAACAGTGATACACGTGCAGCAAGCCAGCATTGGAGTGACAGCCAGCTACTGCAACCTTTGCCCTACTCACCCTGCCTAGGAAGAAAATGAGATTGCAGGCTGGTCGGATACATAACACCCTGATCGACTTCTTTTCAGTGCTTATTATACCTCCAGGCATTCAGGAGCACTGAGACTTCATCCCCCGTCACAGAAGCCAGTGGGGAGCCATGCTCAGCTGAGCAGGGTGGGAGGAGGGATGGTGGCCACCAGGATTGCAAAGGGTCTTCCAGGCTGGTGATGGCCAGTAACGGACTGGGCAGGGGTGAACACCTCTTGTGGTGGGGTTGTCTTCA